ATTAAACAAATCTGTTAGCTGCCCGGTCTGCAACACGAACGCGCACTCGCGCGGTATTTTGTGCGCATGCACATATCATGCGCAAAGCATAAACATATATATAGAACATTTATCAAACTTTTGTTAAAATTATATAGAGGAAAATTATATCGCGATAATTATCCTTATCGAATTATCGCCCAGCTCTATGACGGAGCATATTCAAGAAGTAAATGAAGTATGATACAGTATATTGTTGTAATGGTACTATGTCCTGCCCTGTTAAGTTAAAGCAGACATGTGAGAACTTTGTAACAATAATGCTTTACATTTAACTGATTTTAAACCTTAACCCTTTCAAAGAATAAATATCAAAAGATGAGATTCCTTACTTTGGATATGAAGATTGTGTTGATCTTTGGGTTGTGCTTAAAGTTCTGCAGAATTTGCATCCTCTCTCCTTGTGATGTGGGTCCATAAATATAGGGTCTGTTGAAAAAACAAATCACAGGCTCAAATGTCTAATAAGTACTTTGCCATGACAGCCACTGTGCTTTCTGTAAGCCGGTGAAATTCACTAATACAATTCAGCCCCCATCTGTGGAACATTCCTGTAGATTCAGAGACGTGTTAGTCAGTTCTCTAACAGAGCAAGGGAAAAATGACAAATGCTGCCTTGTGTTATAACACAAGATTTTAAAGTTTTGATATTTGCTTTCAGACGAAGTGTAGGCATATTTTGCCTTGGAATGATCAGAGCTTAAAACTGGCCTTTTTGTGTTTTCAGAGAAAATATTGTTCCCCACCAAGCAACTGGCATAAAAAAGCAACTGGTTCTCCTATAAAGACACTGGCCCAAGTCAGTTCCCTGTTCCATGCATTTTATATATTTTGACTCATATTTAAAACACATTCACCATATTCAAAAACATAAGATCAGAAAACAGAAAGGCTGCCAACGATAGCAAGCAATTCAGCCACCTTGCTCATTTATCAGTTTAGCTAAGTGAGTCTACAATTTCACCCCAACCATTCTTGAAGGAGCCAAGATTTTGGGACTCCTCAAGTACCCAGTAGGGAAAGTTATTCAAGATATTGTATTATTTTACCAATAAAAGCTGTGCATAAAATTAATCAAAATAACCTTCACAATCATGTACCATTATCATTGACCAATAGTCTATATTCATTAATATCAATTTTATGCTAAAGTCTGATAGCCACATAGGTTCAGGATTCAATTTATTTTTATATAGCGCCTTTCACAACAAGGTTGCCAACAAGGCACTTAACAATGCAAGTGACCATACATGTCGCAAATACAGAACAGAAAAGACCCTCTAGGGGTCCAAGGTCAACTGGCTGCCCAACCCCTCTGGGCACGCTAACATTATACAATAAAAAAAAAAAAAAGAAAAGTGTCCGTAAACGCCACTGTGATTCGGCGATACCTACTTGTTCAGGCGGATGGCGTACTCTTTGAGAGCGAAGACGTTGTCGGCGAAGACGATGATCTTGTCGTTGCGGCGCTCGTGGAAGCGGATGAGGAACTGGCAGGCGCGGAACTTATTGGGGTTCATGGTGTACAGCAGGATGCGCTTCTTAGTCTTGATTGCCACGTACTCGCGGTAAAACTCCGGAGACATGGGGCACCACACCTGGCGACAGAACGTGTAAAAACCCATTTGCCAGCGATGCACTCGAGGCGCTGATGTGTAGGATGGAAATGCACGGGACACAATATCTAATAAAGGAAGGAGGACGGCGGCCAACGTGAAGGTTAATTGTCAATTTGAGCGCTTCACTCATAAAGAAGTTTATCACATTCATCACAATGTCTTTGTTATTCTTCCATTTAGCAGGTTCCAGCTTGTGAATTAAGACATGGAACCGAGTCTCTCTTTTTCTTACTTCAGACTTGTAGCAATAATGCATTCATTAACAATAATGCCTGTGAGTAAAGCCCAGAGAGAAGTTCTGCTGTGGATTTAAATGAGGCCTCTCTCTGGGGTCTGAGCTATCCATGATGGATGCCCACTCCTGGAGCCTGGACGTCTAGCAAAGAGCAAGAAGGAACATCTAGAAGTCGCAGGTGGTGGTCAATCAGCCAAAAGATGGCCAACCAATCAGGGACCTGTAGGGCATGGAGACCCACTCCACCTGGTCACCTCTCAGCTAATCACCAGCCGTATGGTTAAAAAGCACTGCACTGCTCTCCTAACTTCAGTTCTCTCCATTGAACCAACCTGGGTTGCTGACAAAAGCACCCTGTGACTGCCACTACTGTTGCTTAAGCCTGAGGCCTTTTGCCTGAATTACAGAATGCCTTATGTAAGACAGAACTCTGTCCAAGGTCTAGCCTGCTGTCTACCATCGTGCATCTGCCTGGCCACTGGATCAATACGGCTGCGGTTTTGTTGAATTTCCTTAAATATTTCAACATTCAGAAGTAGCTGTTACGCTGGGAGCACATGAGAAGCTTCTCCCCCATTTGTGACTGGCCGTGATCAAGCAGTCACCTTTATGCATGAACTTGAGTTGTCCCAGACTTGAATCGGTTATCTGCCTTGAGAAATGGTCCATGATCCCTCACAATGTGTTCTCCAACTTATTAAATGTTATACAAAAAGGCTTTGTGCTTTTATCAACGCCAGAGGAGGCTGTACCAAGTATTAGAAACAGGGGAGCCAATAATTTTGACACCAATGTTTTTGAGAAAAAAAAAATTGTATTACTTAAGAACATTTGTTTTGAAACAATGGTATTAGAATAAAAGTCTGTGCTTTTCCCATTTCTGGAGATATAAAACATAGCTCATAATCCGAGCTGTTTATTTTAGTTGTCTTTTTTGTTCAATTTTATCAAGTGTATCAATATGTCTTCAGCTGTCCTTCATAATAATAATAATTGCTTACACTTATATAGCGCTTTTCTGGATACTCCACTCAAAGCGCTTTACAGGTAATGGGGACTCCCCTCCACCACCACCAATGTGCAGCCCCCACCTGGATGATGCGATGGCAGCCATTGTGTACCAGAACGCTCACCACACACCAGCTATCATTGGGGAGGAGAGCAGAGTGATGAAGCCAATTCATAGACAGGGATTAGGAGGCCATGATTGGTAAGGGCCAATGGGAAAGTTGGCCTGGACGCCAGGGTTACACCCCTACTCTTATAGAGAAACGCGGTGGGATTTTTAATGACCACAGAGAGTCAGGACATTGGTTTTACGTCTCATCCGAAGGACGGCGCCTGTTTACAGTATGGTGTCCCTGTCACTATACTGGGGCATTAGGACCCACATGGACAACATGGTGAGCGCCCCCTGCTGGCCCCACTAACACCTCTTCCAGGAGCAACCTTAGCTTTCCCAGGAGGTCTCTCCCATCCAGGTACTGACCAGGCACACACCTGCTGAGCTTCAGTGGGTTGCCAGTTGTGAGTTGCAGAGTGATATGGCTGCTGCTATAATATACACAGCATCATCTCTCACATGTACACTTACACTGTACTTCTCTGGTCAACAACAAACTCAATTTCTAAACAGCTGCAGTTTTCTGTATTCTCATGTTGTCTCGATCAGCACTTTCATGCTAAAACCTAATCACACTTTCATATAAAACACTGTTTATGCCGTGTAATGGTGACCGTCGCGGCTCCACGCGGGCTTGTGCCCTCCGCCACCCGTTTCGTCCCGCAACGCCTGGGGCGCGAACCCGGGTCTCTGGCGTAACGCAACAGGGAACCAGCCGCATGAGCTAAAGGAGACCCCCCCTGGCCCAGGCAGCTGAGGTCCCTGCTACGCGCAGTGAAGGCGATGACGTCACCATATCCGAGCTATCTCCGCTACATAATGTGTACAAGCAAATATACAAATTGAACCCCCCCCCAATATGTAAAAAGCCTCACCTCTGCACACTGAACCTTGGCAATGTAACCGTTATTCTGCAGCTCCATCCAGTTGGCCTCGTACAGCTTGGGCCCAATGAGGAAGTTAAGGTCAACAATCTTATCGTCCTCTCTGACCAAGGTGGCAGTGAGCCCCAGCTTGCAGTGAGCCTGTACAATCGTCAGCACCCGTCTGAACATTCTGGCTGGGGAAAGAAGAAATGGAGTCGAGATGATTTACAGGAGGAAAGTGATTGTGTGCCTTTTCAACTTAGCATATAACGCAAAGGGGGGGAATTTCTAAAATGGGTGGAAAGGAACAAGTAATTAAGATTTAGATTAATTTAGAAATTCATTTGTTTTCAAAAGGCACGGAGAGTCATTATGTGTAACATAATTTATATTGTTCTAGCCCTCAACCCACTCATTTTAACTGCGCATTCACCTTTAATATTTCCTTCCGTTGTGTAACAGCCCTGCTTTCATTTCAATAAAAAGTACTATAAAAATAAAACACAATCGCACACTTTACATTAAAAACATTCTTGCAGAGATCCTATTTCACATTGTACTTTTGTCATATTTATACTTTTACCTAAAAAATCTGATGATAAGATAAGATCATATGCAATTTTTAGTATTAGGAAATTGTCTTTTTCGCACACCCCAACTTGTTCTCCATGACACAGACAGGGAGAGAAAAGCTTGGGGTCAGAGCGCAGGGTCAGCCATTTATACAGCGCCCCTGGAAAAGTTGAGGTTAAGGGCCTTGCTCAGGGGCCCAACGGAGTAGGATTCCTCTGCCAGCCACGGGATTTGAACCGACAACCTCCTAGCCACAGGCGCAGATCCTTAGCCACAGAGCCAAAGCACCGCCCTAAATATCCCATTACACAAGCTTAAAACTGGCATTGTTAGAATTCAGGATAGGTGTTTCACTTCGCACCCAATGTGACAAGCCAGTATCGGAACTGAAAACAAATCCGAGAACAACTTTTCAGTCTTTCTGACTGATGATCTGACAATCCTGTCATGAAGTAAAGCTTGTCTGGTTTTCAGATGTTGCCTTAAACAGAGTACAGAAGTGTGTTCTTCACTTCACAATGGAAGTGTACATGTGAGAAATCGTGCTCTGTATGTTATGAAGGGCAGTGTATATAGTGGGCTCAAGACCGAGATTGATTATGTAAAATCCGGTACCTTTGTCACTATCTATTGCAGTTAATAACTATTCCCATGGAACTCCATATGGGGTTCTAGTGTACATTAATAACATTTCCATTAATAAAGAACCATCATGGTCATTTCAACGTAGATGGCATTTTATACTCAGGTGTTCCTGCTTTTCCGTTTCTGATATCTGTCATAAATGCATTCAGCTAATTGCGGATTCTGGTAAATGCCGACAAAACCGAAACCAGGCTATTTAATAAAAGCACCGGGAGATCCTCGATTTCTAAAATGATTTTCTTCAGCACCAGTGCATGGATCAACCAACTGTTGTGAAGTGAAGGACACGCTTCTGTTATCTGTTTAAAGGCAGCGGCAGAAAACCAGCAAAGCTTTTCTTCAAGGCAGGATGGTCAGAGCACTCAGTCAGAAAGACGGAAAGGTCGTTCTTGGATTTGTTTTCACTTCTGATGCGGGCTCGTCACATCAGGCGCGGAGGGGAAACACGCGTTTGTTTAGAAAGAGCGGAAGGCTACCTGGTATGGTGTGCACCTCGTCCAGAATAATAAGCCCCCACTCCTGGCTCCTCATCCATTCCATGACCCGCTCGGCCTCCCAGGAGCGTTTGGTGGTGTGCCCCAGCATGGAGTAGGTGCTGATTGCCACGGAGCAGCCGATGGGCTTGTCCTTGGCGTCCGAGGTGAAGCGACAGATCTGGCTGTCATCGATGGTAGACCACATCTTGAACTGGGCCTTCCACTGCTCCACCGACACGGAGGAGTTGCCCAGGACCAGGCAGCGCTTCCTCACCGTGCAAGCCGCCGTCACCCCCACCAGGGACTTGCCTGCCCCTGGAACCAGTCAAAAAGCAGGACAGTTTCAAGCACCAAGGGGAATCTGACCAGTAACCCCACCCCTGCTGTTGACATCAAGCCGCCCCTCGATTTGCACAGTATCTCCCTGTGCTTCACTGTTTCCCCAATCCAGATTCTGGTGACCCACACACACCTCTTGATTTCTGTTCCAGCCGAGCCCCTCGGTTACATAATCAGACTTAATAATAAAACGATTAATATGAACTGTTTGTTCCCGGCTCTTAAACATGCTGGAGCTTTAACCATTGTATTTTGTAAGTGAAATAAAATCCCAAATGTGTGACTAGAAACAAAATGATTATTCCAATGGAGCAACTTCTTAGACTCATTAAGGATTTGATTATCTAATGACGGTGGGACAGAATGCTGACCAACTCGCGTCTGGGTCACCAGGACCGGGACTGGGAACTGGAGCTGTACTCCCTGGTGTGACCTTAGTCAGACCTCAAGTGCGCGTAACAAAAACTGCTCTATTCATCGGGCAATGGTAAAACCTTGTAGCCTGACATCGTCTGATCTCAGAAGCATCTCAGTACTGACCAGGGAGTCTTCTAAGGACGTTGCTGTGAGTACCCAGAATTTCCAAACCAGCGACCCACTATGGCAACCAGGACTGAGTCCTTCCATGACGCATTAAACGAAGGCTTTTAGCACTTAAAGACATTAAAGATCTTATAGCATTGATTAGAAAAGAAAGGGTGGAATGTAGGTTTGTAAAATCTGGCCTCCTTAATTAGCTCCCCCTTAATTCAACTGCAGAAGCAACTTCTCCACTTCCTTTACTAGTGTAGTGATGGCACAGAATAAGTGCACCCACAATTAGGTACAAGACATCAGTGTAGAATGTGCTGTGTGTCCTCCTATATGTGAAATTCTCTCAATAGAAATGCAAACAATTACCAATTGTTAAATTTGAGCTGCATACACACTACTGACTCAGATCAGTGCCTCTCATCCTCGGGAACAGAACTACAGTTGAATCAAGGATCAAATTAATCGCGCTGTTTTTAACACATAACTTCATCCAGTTGATAAACAGCTTTTCTTTCACAGCTCTAAAATCGTTTGAACCTTTGCTCACGTAGGCTTTAATCCGATTAACGGCCAAGCATAATCATTTCAGTGGTCTCAGTTTAAGTCCAAAAAGCTGGCAGCAGTCCAAAGAACAACAACACTAGCTGGCCTGGCAAAAGCAAGACATTCCATGTCAACTGAACTAACCCAATCATCTCGGATAACAAACAACTCAAATGAAATGACAAACTCACTTTAGATACAAAACACAGTACAGAGCAATGGACAAGTGATGGTTTGATCCAATGGTTATGGCAATAACCCCAAATCAATGACGCAGGAAGCACGCTGTCAGCGGCACTTAGATGCACAGATGTAAGACTGTCCAGGCAAACAGCAATAAAGCTCCAGTGTTAATCATCTTGCATAACTCTCGGTTCTTTAGTTATAACTTTT